GAAAACTTTAATTCTAATCTTGATTATTAATAATAATTCAATAAAACATTTTCTTCGTCTGGTACTTTCGAGTTTATGTCTGATACAAATTTCTTTATTTATATTTAAAGTAAATTTTTAGCTAATTATAGGACTTAACCGGTGATGAGCAATATGTGTTAAAAAATGCCCGTCAGCAACAGTGATTCGACATGCAGACTCTTTTGAACTTAAAAGTATCTAACTTCGTCATTAAACACCATGAGTAAGTGAACTGAAGAAAAATTTCAAAACAAAGTATAACTTACTCAAGTGTAAAGTTCACGGTTGAGTCTATTATACGCCCTTATCTATTCTCATTGCTTGGTTGGGTTGGCTGTTCGTGCGTGGTGTATGTTCTTCCTTTATCATCTCTTCGTATTACATGTTTTATTCTTCTTTCTATTGTAACTATGTATCGTGAACTATCTCCCTTCTCTCTCCTAGTTGTGTATATAAACGATACGTTCAACGATATGGAGAAGCCAAGTTATAAAAAATTGCAGCAGACAACTGTTCGGATTTCAGGAAGTTATGTAGAGATCTATAGACTCTCATGTTGCTTCTATCAGAAAGTTTTTGAATAGACGATAGGTTTTTTGCGCTATCAAGAGATTTCACTTGGGAACTGAAGATATCGTCAAGTTCGATATTATCTATTCTAAATCGAAAATTTCTTTTTAGATGAAAATCTCTTATAATTCGTTCATACTTAATATTACTATTTGTTTGATTCTATATTTACTATTTCAATGGATCTCATATTACTATAATGATATCTCTTATGTCCCTCGACTATTTAACTCGTCCGTTATATTTTTCCGTGCAAGTTCTTTGCGTAAGAGTTTCGTGTGTGATTACAGAAAGAAATCTTTGGAATATCCTTGGATAAAAGATCGATTACATCCAGCCAAAAATCTTAAAGTTTATTGTTCGAAAATTCCAAAACCAACTAGTGGTTGGCAGAGAGCACAAAGATATCAAGAAAACGACGTTGCCTTTATTATTTATACAGGCGCTTCACTGTATGCAACACGTGCAATGAGCGTGCGAGATACATGGGTATCTCGCGTGACTAATTCTTATTTTCTCGGCTCGAAGCCGTATCCAAGTCTACCTATCACAGTTATAGAAAATACTGGTGAAGATTATCAATCGAATACTAAAAAGATCTTTTATGGTCTCGAATTAATCTATAGAAAACAGCAAACAATACATCCATCTAAACGACACAAATGGTATCTTTTAGTTGGCTGTGATACTTATGTAAATGTACCACATCTCAAACAACTCGATCCATATAATTTTACACAGCCATATTTTATTGGAGGTTCAATTGGTGAAGGAATATGCTATCACAAGAACGGAACTTCTTATAATAGTCTATTTGTTGGTGGCAATACGGCACATATATTTAGTGCAGCACTTGTTGAAGAATTGTATCCTCATTTATCCGTTTATGTTCAATCGATTTGGCCTCAACCAAACCACTCGGCCGCCGGAGCATCTGATGTTGCCTTGTCTTGTCTTATCTTCAGCTTAGGATACAACATGACTATATTACCAGGACTTTGGAGACGCTCGCCTAATGGAATCATTAAAGAGTTTGGATTAAGAGCAACTTTAAAAGTTAAGGAACCAAGCAGTTGGCATTACATACATCCTGCACAAATGATTGATTTGGACGAATTTTATGCATACCAGTATGTTGATCGACTGAAGAACGATCAAAATTGGTATGAATTAGTAGACTTTATTCATCTTTTTATTGGTACACATTATGAAACGTTAAGGAAACATCAACCAAATGACACTGAGAAGCTTGTGAGAACATATAGATAATGTTCTGGCTGTAGTCAGTCACGCATGTAAAAAAAAAAAAAGATGAAAAGAAATCTGTTTTCAATCAACTTGTTGTTTTTGATTTATAATAGATTAAAATCAATTTTAACCTATTATCACTTATAAATGAATTTTAATCTATTGTTATTTGTTAATTGATTTTAACCATACACATCGACAATCAGTATTTTCCTTGAGATTCAAATCCGATATGTTAACTCGAATTTCGGTGTGGATATAGATAAAGATCTTCTTCATCTCAGTCATATGCATTCAATTCAATACCCATAATTCCATTATCACACCGTAAGTTAGATTCGTGAAAAGTTTTTTTCGTGATAAATCAGTTTGAAATTAATTTAAATGACACTATTATTTGTGCCTAGTTTTGATAAACGTGCTTTTTCAACAGTAATCACTGGTTTATAGCGCTAGCTTATACTACAAAAGAATTCGCTTTGTGATGTGGTACATTGTCATTATATTATATAACATCTATAATACGTACTATTGTCTACACATATAGATATTATGAGACAAATAGATAAATACATTGAAACGTAATTTTGTAATTCAAGGTAAGATTAAATGAGAATTGTATCTTTTCACTGAATTTTAATTGTTTAGGTTTTTAATCGATTATTTCGGATTCCCACGAAATATCAATTTTAATCAAGAGAATCATGCCGTTCGTAAGAACTTAAAACTGTCAATGAATTCTATTCGTTGTATAACATCAAGTTACAAGAAAATTACTAATATTTGATAGGTAATTATTAATATGTTCTCCAGTATGAAAATGAATAGTAACTCATCCTTCAATAATTAATCATAAAACACGTTCATCTTTCATATAAACTGAAATTAAACGTGTTCGGTCATATTTATGTGAATGTCGTTTGAATAAATAAATTTTCTTTAAGACTAACAAAGATATCGGTTTAAAATTTGAATTCTTTTATTTATTTAAAATTTTTTAAGAATAAATTATTTTAAAAGTTCTGATAATATATCAAAACTTTATAACAGCCAGAGTTTGTGAGTTTCACAGTTCGGTTCCAGGAAGGGTTGCATTGACAATTGTTTTTGACAAATATATCAAGTACTACAAAGCTTTTTCATATAAGCTGAATTCCCTATTTTGACGCGATCAGAAGAGTATGTAACTCGATGTCGCTCAAAACAATCAACAGCTGCTTTATCGCATTCACAAGTATTCCGATCACACGTTCCTATTCGATCAGTACAGTGAATAACTCTGTTCGGTAGTTTTTCCCAGTCATATGTGACTATCTTTGGCGAGCAACCAAAAAATCCCCCAGAAATTCGGTCGTAGCATTGATCATGTATTCGACAACAATGATCTGTAGCATCCAATGCTAGTAGACCATGATTACCAGCTCCACACCTATTACACATCAAAGGTAGTCAAAGATCAGAACAATGGTATGCTATTATACTTACCAACAACCGTAGCCATTGTAATCACTAACATTGTACCCCTTGTATTTGATCATATTACTGAATTGTAAAAGGTTGCGTAGCGATGTGGTGGACAATGAAAGAACAGGAGAATGCAACATCACAGTGAGTACTATTAATAATGTGTAAATCATTTTGTCAATGCTTATTGCTGACTACTGCAAAATAGAAAATTGTACTTATAAATATATAGTATTGAGAAATTTTCGCATTTATATTTTTTTTTACTAAGCTTCAAAGGACATATCGCTTAAGCTTTTAAAATTGAAACACAAAACTAAATACGATAGTGCACCACGACGTACGTCGTAGTAGAAAGTGCCTAACACCAACATTAAATTTATGTTTTGATGCAAATATCTGATTTTCATTGACTTATCTGCGTAGACATCGCATATACGAAGAAAAATCTAACGTATTTCTTACTACGTTATTCACAAAATGCATGATCATCAGATGGCTCTATTGATAATTACAAAATATTATCAGTACATTTTATTAGCATCTTCCACAATACGACCTTCTACACACACTACGAAAAGGCTTAGTTTTCATTACTGTATTGATTATTCATTGAATGGCTTAGAAATTTTCAGGGAAACAAGATCAAACTATGTAGTAAACAATAAAGATAGTACAGTATGGGCTTGAACATGTAGATGTGGATGTGTAAAATAAAAGATACTTCCATAGGTATCGTTCTACATCCACGAAGAGTTCAAAATGATTTTCATTTAACGAAATCTAATACTTTAATGTTTGACAGTAAACCTTTGTTTCTCAAAGTGTATCTACACTATCTTCCCACTCACAATACATGTTTCACCCTTATCGAATTATAAATCATTCCTACAACGATTGATTTTAAATATTTGTCCTCACGATTGTATTCTTGTACTGATTGATGCAAATGTCTGCATTCTATTACAAAATGTTCTATAACAACCACTTCGTATTTACTTGACTACGAGTGAGCAAATGACTCTTTCTTGAATATCAATTTCGATGATAATATTCATATAAAACAGATTAAAAGAAACTCAAGTGCCTTCAACAATCGACTCTCCACTCGAAACACTCAAAGACAATAATGATGATCATAAATATGTGGCTCCGTCCAAAGCAAAAGTAGTGTTGAAAAACAATAGACAACTTTTAAATCCGAATCAAATCCGATTCTTTTTTTGTCAAAGTAACTGTGTCATGTCATGTATGAATTGAAAAAAGTCAAAGCGTTCAACTTATACAATTGTATGATCACAGTAGTCTAGAGCAACATCAAAACAACATTATCGAATTTACGTAACATTGCCAAACGTTATTATGTAAAGGTGATATGGCGAACTAGGTGTGTCGATGGGTTAAGAAAAGGCAAGGAAAAAAATAGAACTTTCTTTTTTCTATCTCGTGATTTACATGCTTTGTCTTCTTTTATGTTTGCCTTTTACTTTGCATTTGTTTTCTCTTATCTCTAGTGTTTCTTCATTGAATAACCTAGGCAGAGATGAATGCACACTGATGCACACACGCGTCTAAAGAACAAAAGAAAAATTCATTTGGTCAAAGTACATGTTCGCAAATTGTAAGTTTCTCTATTGATCATCTTGACCTTGTGTCAGTACTTGTAATAATAGAATAAAAAATACCATTGATTGTACATGGCTGAAGCTCATGAAGCAGTTGCCTTTTCATTCGCTGTTGGTCCTGGAGGTAGAATGCATTGCTTGATTGAAATCGAAGAAAACATATATTTCCATGAAAACATTTTTCTTTAGGTTTCAATGTCGATCTACGCTATGATGTTTTTAAAGATTGGTACTTTTCTTGTCTACGTTCTTGGCGATTAAGTTGTCATCGTACGCTGAATTCACTTCACAATTTCTTATATCCGGGTCATCCGATTCGTGGTCTGATTTGTTGTGGCGCCATTCCAGCACTGTACTTCAAAGGCTATGATCCATCATTCGGTGTTATTACTTGGCTGGAAGAACACATTTTTCGACGTTATTTTCAATCGAAAAATGCCACAATTCTTGCTTGTGTCACCTTCGCCGCTGGTGCATACATTTGTGTCATACAAATTCGACAATATACCTTGAAAGCCTTGTTTTCTTATCATGGCTGGATGTATCAAAAGCATGGTCAAAGTGTTGGTCTGATGCCAAAACTTTGGATGGGTCTCGTTAAATTATTTGTCGGTCGAAATCCATCTTTGTATTCATGTCAAAATGTTCTACCAACCTTACCGTTGCCAAGTTTAGATGATACATTACAACGCTACTTAAGAACAGTTCGACCACTCTACAATGACGAAGAATATCAACGTGTAGAAAAATTAGCAAATGAATTCAAACAAACCATTGGACGCAAACTACAACGATATCTTTGGTTCAAATGGTTTTTCTCATCGAATTATGTGCGTAATGATCGAATGTTTCTTATTATTCTAATGTTGACTCATACATTTTAGATAACTGATTGGTGGGAAAAATTTGTTTATCTTCGCGGTCGATCACCAATAATGGTGAACAGTAATTTCTACTGTCTCGTAAGTAGTTCATTGAGAATTGATTGATATTGAATCGACGGAGATTTTTCAGGATGCAGTTTTCGATCGTTCGACAATGAAACAAACAGCACGTGCTGCTAACATAGTTTATGCGGCATTCAAGTATCGTACTGAATTGGAACTTCAACAAATGAAACCGGTACGAATGATCAATACTTTCGAATACTTCTCATCATTCTCAATATTGTTTAGTTGATGATTCAAAATTTGATTCCACTCTGTTCGAGTCAATATGAACGGCAATTCAATACTGTTCGCATTCCAGGAAAAGAAATGGGTAGAAAACGTTTTTTTTTTGAACATTGAAGGATACATTTTGAATTTTTCTAGATCGCATCGTACACTATCCCGATAGTCATCATATTGCTGTCTATCACAAAGGTCGTTGGTACCAAGCCTTTATGTATCATAAAGGCAAGCTCCTGAAACCATGCGAATTGCAAATGTAAGTTTCAGGAATATTCTAAGAAGTGGAGAAGAATAGTTCAAACGTTGGTTTTCCTTAGTCAATTAGATGAGATCATTCGAGATGAAACGTTGCCCGCCGATGGCGAAGAACATCTTGCTGCCCTAACCGCCGGTGACCGTACATTATGGGCTACGACACGTGAAACATTCTTTTCTACTGGCTGCAATCGCTTATCCTTGAAAGCAATCGAAAAAGCAGCCTTCGTTCTGATTTTAGAAGATGCCGAATTTGAAATTGGAAGGGTAAGTCGGGTCAATATCCGTTTATTCTGGCAAACTATAGACTTATAACGGAACCAAGTCCATCCTCGTTTATCGATTTACAAAGTTAGTTAATCAGCTTGAGGACTCGTTGATATAATTGTCATCTCAAGCAGATGTTTTCGACATTTCTAATCTCTATTTATGTTTGTCTTATGATTTAATTTGTTTATTCACAATGAAAATGACTGACTGGTATTTTTTCAATTGTATTCGACAGTTTTTTTTTGATTATCTAGAGCATGAGTCCCAAATTCGATGACTACGCGCGAGCGATGCTTCATGGCAAAGGTTATGATCGTTGGTTCGATAAATCGTTCAATTTTGTAGTCGGCAAAAATGCAGTAGTAAGTGTTGTTATTGATACGGATAATTCTTTTAATTGAAGTTTCTTTTCGTCGTTAGTTCGGTTTCAATGCAGAACATAGTTGGGTATGATAGACAATGAAGTCTTTTTTATAGATCATGTTGGTTTTATTTGTTCACGTCGCTTAGGCTGATGCACCCGTATGTGGACATATGGCCGAATATATTCTTTCGGAAGATATCATTGTATTAGGGTAAGCTTTCGGTCTAACTAACAGTAGTATACGAAATTGAAGAGAAATAATCAATTGATACTTTTCTAGCTATGATGAAAATGGCAATACGCGCGGTATTCCACGTTTCAATGCTCTCCGACCAATAAAACTTGAATGGTGTATTCCGGATGCCGTAAGAAGCATTGTTTTTAAACAATTTCTTATGTTATGAATCAACGTTGTCTAGTGTAAAAAATTGATTGAACAAAGTTTCAATGAAGCTACACTCTTGTGTAATGATGTCGATCTACATGTTTACATTCAAGACTCTTATGGTAAGTCATTCATTCACTAGACGATATCTGCTAAAACTTTAAAAAAATGTCTATACCATCAAAAGTAGTCCTGAAGTGTAGGATTCACAAAAATTGTGTAACAATGTTGTTCGTCAAAGTTTCATCTGTAGACTTATTTTTATACTTCTTGATTGTCGAATATGTGAGGAAGATTGGAGCAGAAACGATTAGTTAGTGTCAGTACTAAATTGACTTTCTGATTGACAGATTTTTTACAATGTAGTGTTAAACTTGGTGATCATGTCCTTTCTAGGTAAGAATTTCATGAAGAAATGCAACTTATCTCCCGATGCCTACATTCAAATGGCCCTTCAATTGGCTCACTATCGTGTAAGACTGTTGGCAATAGATGACTAACCCTAATAAAAACCGTTGTTTCTTGGTTATGTAAATTTAAGGATTC